GCTTTTCAGGAATCTGATATCACTGGACTGTATAAAACAGAGGAATAATCTGTGACAGGAATTGATGAGTATCTTGACTGAACCACTATTTTATTTGTGAGGCCCTGTCGTATTAGATTTATGTGCTACCTAACATTGATTCACGCTATTTAAATTACACACTGGAAGAAAAAAAATGGTTACTTAGTTTCGCTGCATGTAGTCTTTGTTTATGAACCAGAAAAATGCCTCATCGCCTTCACATATGCTCTTGCACCATAACTGCATCTCCTATGCACTTACTTATTCCTACACATGCAATGACCTGGCTTAGAAGTCTATTCATCTAGATCTAGTTTTTCTCTTGGCTCTCTATGCTCTTTCTATATAACTTCAGCACTGAATGAAACTGTAATTGTACATTAAATATAGTAATAGCATTGGCAAGATTACACATTTCCACATCCATTTGCTTTTCTGAAGACTCTAAAAGCCTGTTAAAATGAGAGGTTATACAGGAAGCTAAACAAAATAGAGCTTGCAAGCAGTATGCAGCTTGCCAGCCAAATTAACTAGCACAGCGGCTGATGAGGGGCACGTCTGGCCTCCTCTGGAACAGGCTGCCCAGAGAGGTTGTGGAGTCTCCTTCTCTGGAGATCTTCAAAACCCGCTTGGACGCAGTCCTGTGCCACGTGCTCTGGGTGACCCTGCATGTGCAGGGGGGTTGGACTAGATGATCTCTAGAGGTGCCTTCCAACCTTAAGCATTCTGTGATTCTATGATTCTCTGCAGGCTATCGATGCCCCACAACAAGACAAGTTCTCAGTGAGAGCTACTGTGCCTCCTAACTGGGCAAAGGACTGCCAGGCAGATGGGTCATACACACACTGCCTACTTCACCCAAAAGCCAGGAGATGAAGGTGACCAACAGGCCGGGTTCTGTCATAACAAATACTACCAAGCTGCCTGGCTAGGCCAGACAGCACATGCCACGACCATGGCAGGCCACTGCACAGTCTAGAGCTGGCAAAAGTGTGGAGCAGAGGAGGCAGAGAGCATGGATTTGGTAGGAAGAAGATCCGTGGGAAAGAGCGGAGTGGCTGGTAGCCAACTGCAGAAGCTCATGCCCATGCACTCATTTGAGGACTGCAGTGCTCACTCTTCCTACTGCGGGAAGGAGTCTCCCCTGGCAGGGGATCCCTGGCAGTGTTTGGCCCTGCTGGTGCAGAGGAAATAGGACAACTTGCAGCTCACTAAATGGAAACTAGAGAAGTTAAAGCAGAAAATTTAATTTGTTGTTTTGAAATCTGCCCAAGAAAGCAGCAATATACAATACCGTGATTTCTTCTTCTTTTAAAATGAACATTTCATTGATTCTACCCTGAAGAATAAAGGATCAGGATAAGGCATGATATGCATTTGCTGTACAAATAACTTTTAGTAGAAATAACTGTTTTCATGTTAAGATTTTGTTTGCAACATAGATTGGCGGATCCCCAAATTAGAGAAAAGAAATAGATTATTTTGTATTTTTGCCAAAATAAAAAGTATTCAATTTTGGAGTGAATGCATTGTGTTTTGGTTATTTCTTTCTTCTTTTTCCAAGCAGTTTCCACCAGAAGCTGATTTTATAACGCATCTCCATGGAGCTGTCTCCAAATGCAGTCTTCCTGGCATGCTGGGGCAATGTATTTGTACAAAGTAATAGAAGCCAATTTTCAAACTGGAGCCTGCAGTAGCTAATTAGGTGCTTAAGCATGGAGTCAGTAGTTACTCGAGTTTGAAAACTGGATCCTTGTTTACGGCTTCCTGAGACCACCGCTTTTACCCTGATTTATTTTTCTGGCTGGCATTAGTTCATGTGTGTTCTGTTGAGGTCTCCCACCTTAGTCGAGTGGTATCAGGTTTAGGCTACAACATTAAACCAGTTCAGGGGACCCACTGAGTAACGGGGTGCTAACAGTACAGTTTTTCTGACAGGAACCTCTTTTACTCTACACTTGAGTTGTACACGTCATCTTCCCACCAATCATCACACTCCCAAATTTCCAGTGTGTTAATCTGGCTGCAGGGCAGAACGCACTAGGATCAAACTGCAGAACAACCAGATTGCCGTGTGCTCCATTAAAAGACAAGTGATGCAAAACATGGGTGACATGCTGGGGTTTCTAATGAAAGGCCACACAAAATTTCAATACATGCCTTAGGATGAATCAGTGAATTAAGCAAAACAGACTTGCTGTATTAAAATGACTTGAGTTTCTTAATGATTTATGTATTAATCTTGCAATACATCATCACCATTGCTTAGTCAAGAATATAAAGGCTATTATTAAACACTCATAAAGCTTTCT